TCCGCGAGGAGCCACGAGACGCCCAGGACCCCACCGACCGCGACGCATAGGACGACGGACTCACACGAGGCTCCCGCCCCCGAGGACCATCTTGGCGAGGGGGAGGTGGACAGACGGCGCCCTGCCGCGAATCGGCCAGGCCCCCGCCGCCCCCTCCCTGCCGCCCCCGCCCCCCCACCCCCGCGCCGCGGCCCAGGCGGGCGCCCGCGCGGCGCAGGGGTCATGCAGCTGCGCCCCGACGCCGCTCGAGGCGCGCCGCTCCAGCCCGAGGCGCCTCGGGCGGGCGCGCACCTCGGCAGCTGCAGCCGCTGCGCCAGCTCCGCTCCACCAGCCCCGCCGCCGCTGCAGGCACCGCACCGCCGCCGTCGCCACGTCCGGCCCCCGCCGCGGCCGGCGGCACGCCGCCCGCACCAGCAGGGCCTCCCGCGACGCCCCGCGCCCCAGCAGCACGCGGCCCTGCGCCTCCTCGGCGCGGCCTCGTCGGCCCAGGCGTCGTCGAGCTCGGCGTCGTCGTCGCCGTCGGCGTCGATCTGGGGGCCGCCCGCGGCCGCCAGGGGCACAGCAGGCGGCGAGACCGCCGTCTCCACTGCGTCCGCCGACGCCCCAGCTTCCCCTCGCTCCCCCACGCGCCGCTGACGGCGCCAGCGCCGCCACTCGCGCAGCGTCCCCGAGGAAGCGCGGCAAACAGCCTCGGCAGGCACCCCCGGGGCGCCCCCCGTCGCCCGCGGCGGCAGGCTCCCGCCGCGCCGGTTGCGCCGCGCAGGCGGCGGCCGGCACGCCGTAGAGTGCCAAGGCGGCGACAGTGCGGCGCGGAGCGCCTCCGTCAACGGCTCCGCGGACCGCAGCAGCAGCAAGGGCCGCCAGGTCCCCCAGCGCCGCGCGAGCCCCTCTAAGCAGCGCCACCCCTCGGACCCGCAAGGCGAAGGAGGCGCGGCCGTGCGGTCGCTTGAGCCAGAATGGCTTGAGCCAATATGGAAATGAAACGGAGGGAGGAGGAGGAGGAGGAGGATGAGGAGGAGGGAGCAAATGAAGAGGAGGAGAAGGAGGAGGAGGAGGAGGAGGAGGAAAGGGCTTCGACCGTTCGTGGTGACACAGCCCGCAGTCTCGTGCATCGAGGAGAAGGAGAAAGAGGAGGCGGAGGAGGAGGAGGAGAAGGAAGAGGAGGAGGAGGAAGAGGAGGAGGAGGAGGAGGAGGAGGAGGAGCGAGGAGGATGCGTCCGTCACTCACAGGGGCCTTGCTCTGAGGCGTGGAAGGGGGCCGCGGCAGCCGGCGGGAGCCGCCCACCTCGAACCCATGGAGCGCCGTAGTGCTGACGGCTGCGGAGCGTTCGCGCATTGCGCGGTGAACTCCTCCAACTCCTCCTCCTCCTCCTCCTCCTCCTCCTCCCCTACCTCCCTCTCCTCATCATCCTCCTCCTCCTCCCCCCTCCTCCTCCTCCTCCTCCTCTCCTCCTCCTCCTCATCCTCCTCCTCCTCCTCCTCCTCCTGCCCTCCTCTACCTCCTCCTCTCCTCCTCCTCCTCAGCCTCCTCCTCCTACCTCATCCTCCTCCTCAATCATCATCCCTGCTCCTGTTAACTCGGCTCCCTTCCTCAAATCCCTCACTCCCTGCCCCTCCTCCTCTCGCTCCTCCTGTTTCCCCCCCCCCCCCCCTCTCATCCCTCATCTTGCTCGCTCCAACCTCGCTCACTCGCTCATCGTCCTCGCTCTTCCTCCTCCTCCTCCTCCTCCTCATCCTCCTCCTCCTCCTCATCATCATCATCATCATCATCATCATCATTATCACATCATCATCATCATCCTCATCATCCTCTTCTTCCTCCTCCTCCTCCTCTTTCTCCTTATCTTCCTCCTCCTCCCTCTCCTCCTCCACGTCCTCCTCCACCAGCTCCTCCTCATCCTCCTCATCCGCCTCCTCCACCTCCTCGAGACTGCGGACTGTGTCGCCACGAATGGTCGAAGCCCTCCCCTATTCGTCCTACCCCATCCACCTCCTTCATCCTCCTCCTCGTCCACCTCCTCCTCCTCCTCCTCCTCCTCCTCCTCCTCCTCCTCCTCCTCCTCCTACTGTTCCTCCTCCTCCTCCTTCTCCTCCTACTGTTTCTCCTCCTTCCCCTCCTCATCAGCATCAGCATCATCATCAGCAGCAGCAACAGCATCATCATCGTCGACATCATCACCACCATCACCACCATCAGCATCAGCAGCATCGTAATCAAAATCCTCGTCATCCTCAACTTCATCAGCAGCATCATCACCATCATAACTATCAACATCAGCATCATCACCATCATCAGCATCATCCAAAGTATCGTCATCATCATCATCAGCAGCATCAGCATCCCCATCATGAGCATATACAACATCATCATCAGCAGCATCATCAACATCACCATCATGATCGACATCATACTCATCATCAGCATCACAGCCATCAGAACTATCATCATCACCATCAGCATCATCACCCCCATCGTCGTCATCATTGTCAGCATCAGCAACCGAGCATTCATCATCATCCGCATCATCATCAGCATCATCGGCATCAGCATCATCATCACCATCACCATCTGCATCATCATCAGCATCATCACCGTCATCATCAGCATCATCAGCATCAGTATCATCATCAGCATCAGCAGCATCACCATCATCATCGTCAGGATCAGCATCGTCATCATTGGCAACACCAGCATCGACATCACCATCTGCATCATGGGCACCAATATCATCATCAGCAGCATCATCGCCCTGGTTTCGATCTTATAGCATCAGAAATCTGCCGACCCTGTCGGCGTGTGCGAGGGGCTTGGCTGTTCGAGTCGTCGTCTCCGTCGGTCGTCGCCTCCGTCGTCCCCTTTCCCTGCAGCTTCCTTCTCAAGCTCGTGAGCGAGAGAAAAATCTAGCAGTGTCGTAATCGAGTCGAAGGGAAGCCCCTTCCCTTTGATCCCTTCCCCGGGGGGGGGGTCCCGGGGGGGTCCCGGGGGTGTGGGTGGGGGGGTGGGGGGCAGATTCGTTTTTCCTCGGGCGGCCTAGAAACCTCGAAAACACTCCAAATGAGGTCCGAATGCCCAAGATGGCCCCCGAGACGGCCCAAGAGGGCCCCGAGTCGCCCAAAGATCGGCCGAAAACGCCCAAGACAGCCCCAAGACCGTCCAAGAAGCCTCCAAGACGTCCCAGGCCCCCTCCAAGAGACCCCCAGGAAGCCCCAAGAGGCCCCCACGAGGCTTCCAAGCGGCCCCTAAGAGCTTCCCAAGAGGCCCACCAACTACCCCCAAGAGGCCTCCAAGAGCGCTCGTCGACGTCGTCGTCGTCGTCGCCATTCAGGGTCGGCGGCACGGGCCGTAAGGCCTTCGCAATAAAAATACTAAGACGTAGATTGATGAAACTAAGTATACCGCAAGTAAGAAACATATTATAACCTAATCAGCATCACTAGCATCACCCTGCCATCCGCATTAGCAGCATCATCAGCATCATCAGCATCATCACCAGCAGCATCATCAGCATCATAACCAACATCCTCAGCATGATCAGCAGCATCAGCATCAGCACCACCACCAGCAGCAGCATCATCGTCCAGAGTATCAGAAGCACGCTTCGCCTTCTCCTTCTCCGCCTCCTCCTCGTCCGCCGCCTCCATCTTCTCCTCCTCATCCTCCTCCTAGTGTTCCTCCTCATCCCTTTCGGACTCCTCATCCGCATCCTCGCCCCCCTCCTCCTCCTCCTCCTCCTCCTCCTCCTCCTCCTTCTCCTCCTCCTCCTCCTACTCCTGCTCAACAGCATCATAAGCATCATCATCAGCAGCGTCATCATCACCACCATCATCATCGTCATCAGCATCGTCATCAGCATCAGCATCAGCATCATCATCAGCAGAAGCAGCAGCAGCATCACCACCACAATCATCAGCATGGTCAGCATCAGCATGGTCAGCATGGTCAGCATCAGCATGGTGCAGCAGCAGCAACATCAGCATCAGTACCATCAGAATCATCGTCAGCATCATCATCAGCATCATCAGCATCATCGTCATCAGCAGCGTCAGCATCAGCATCAGCATCATAATCAGCATCGTCGCCAACATCATCAGGATCATCAGCAGCATCCTGATCCGCACCATCATCATCATCAGCATCACCAACAGCATTGATGCACTCAGCATCAACATCCGCATCAGCATCATCATCATCATCATCACCATCATCATCATCATCATCATCATCAGCACCATCGTCATCATCATAAGCATCATCATAAGCATCATCACAATCAGCAGCATCATCATCGTCAGCGTCATCGTCGGCGTCAGGATCATCATCATCATCAGCATCAGCAGCAGCACCAGCATCAGAAGCGTCATCATGGACAGCATTGTCATCAGCATCATCAGCATCATCAGCATCATCATCGTCAGCATCATCGTCGGCGTCAGTATCATCATCATCATCATCATCATCATCAGCATCATCATCATCATCAGCATCATCATCATCAGCATCATCATGAGCACAAGCATCAGAAGCGTCATCATGGACAGCATCGTCATCAGCATCATCAGCATCATCAGCATCATCAGCATCGTCATTATCAGCAGCAGCATCAGCATCGTCATCATCATAAGCACATCAGCAGCATCATCAGCTTCATCATCATGATCGGCATCGTTATCAGCAGCATATTCAGCAACATCACCATCATCATCATCAGCATGATCATCGGCATCATAAGTGTCAACAGCATCATCAGCCGCATCAACAGCGTCAACCCCATCATCAGCATAATGAGCTGCCGCATTACTGCCGGCATCACCACCATGCCAACATCACCATCGGCATCATCATCATCATCATCATCAGCAGCAGCAGCATCATCGTCTTCATTCGTATTCGCATCATCATCGGTATCATCGGTTTCATGAGCGTCACTCGCATCATCATAAGCCTCATCATCGGTAGCAGCAGCATCAACATCCTCATCATCTTCAGAAGCCTCAGCATCAGCATCAGCATCATCACCAGGAGCATCAGCATCATCGACATCCCCAACACCATCATGCACCTGATCAGCATCATAATCCGCCGCCTCATCAGCAGTATCAACATCATCAGCAGCATCATCAGCAACAGCATCATCAACATCAGCATCATCGTCGTCAGCATCGGCATGGTCATCGTCAGCATCATCAGCATCAGCGACATCATCATTAACATCAGCAGCAGCATCAGCATCAGTGCCGTCAGCATCAGCATCATCATCAGCATCAGCATCAAAAATCATCAGCCTCATCATCCTCATCGTCAGCATCATCATGCTGCACGTCAGGCGTCAACAAAATCCTCATCCGCCTCCTCCTCCTCCTCCTCCTCCTCCTCCTCCTCCTCCTCCTCCTCCTCCCCCTCCTCAGCCGCCGCCTCTGCCTTCTCCGCTTGCGCGTTCTCCTCCTCATCCTCCTCCTCCGCATTCTGCGCCTGCTCCTCCTCATCTTACGCCTCCCCCTCATCCTCCCCTCCTCCTCCTCCTCCTCTCCTCCTCCTCCTCCTCCTCCTCCTCCTCCTCCTCCTCTTCCTCCTCTTCCTCCTCTTTCCTCCTCCTCTTCCTCCTCCTCCTTCCTCCTTCCTCCTCCCCCCCACTTCTCCCCCTCCTCCTCCTCCTCCCCTCCTCCTCCTCCTCCTCCTCCTCCTCCTCCTCCTCTTCTCCTCCTCCTCATCCTCCTCCTCCTCCTCCTCCTCCTCCTCCTCCTCCTCCTCCCTCCTCCCCCGCTCGTCGCCCCCCCTCCTCCTCACGTCTCATCCGCCTCCTCCTCCTCCTCCTCCTCCTCCTCCTCCTCCTCCTCCTCCTCCTCCTCCCCCTTCCTCCGCCTTCTCATCGTTCTCATCATACCCCTTTCTCTTCCGCACCATCAT